TCAGACAGCACAAAGGTAAAGGGGTGTACAGTAATTTTGGAGGATGCACTGTCTGACAGTGCGTGCACAGTTTGCTGTGTTGACTTGAGAGTCTAGAGGCTGCTGTGGTGCACATACCTTGGATCACCGCACGGAAGACAAAATAAAAAATTAGTTGGTACGCTGCTGCGTGTGACCAGGCTCCTGCTCAGTGCCAAGGAAGAAAGGATCACATGGTGTCAACGAGTCTTGACTTCGGTGAGCCGCACACGCAGACACAGGAGCAGGTTTGTTCAGGGGCACTGGGCAACCCAACACAAAGGCTGGATGGGACTGCAGCAAGTATACTCACTGCAAACCTGGCACTTCAGGTACAAAAGGGTCTAGCTCAGAGTCAATGGACCTGCATCCCCACCATTGCATCCAACAACCAATCTGGGTGGGTGTGGGAAACAGGGGAACAAGGGATATTCCTTTATTCTTTATCCTTTATTCATTCACGGGATGAGGGCATTGCTGGCTAGGCAACATTTATTGCCCATCCCTAATTGCCCAGAGGGCAGTTAAGAGTCAACCACATTGCTATGGGTCTGGAGTCACATGTAGGCCAGACCAGGAAAGAATGGCAGTTTCCTTCGCTAAAGGGCATTAGTGAACCAGACGGGTTTTTCCAACAATTGGCAATGGATTCATGGTCATCATTAGATTCTTAATTCCAGATGTTTATTGAATTCAGTTTTCACCATCTGCCATGGCAGGATTCGAACCCAGGTCCCCAGAACATTACTGGGTCTCTGGATTAACAGTCCAGCGCTAATACCACTAGGCCATCGCTTCCCCTTGTTGCCCTCACTCCGGTGGCCACTCAACATGAGGAGGCGGGGTAGGTGCACAATCAGAGGAGGAACCTCAGGTACCCACTCCTCCCCCACCCCTCCATTAGCTGTTTCCTTTCAGGGCACTCCAGAGTTGGTCAGGCCTTCTACCCCCACCCTGCCTACCTCTGAGGCAAAGTGGAAGGTCAAGCCGAGGAGGGTGCACCATCTCAGAACGCCTGCACCCTCTCAACACATGTGACCCTGGGATCAAAACTCCACTTGCAAATCCCAATGTAAATTACCAATTGTGAAATACTGTATAATAGGCCAGAAATTACTGAACAATCCCAAATGAACAAGTGATTTCAGACAAGCTCATAACATGGCTTATTTATGCTTGCTATGAGCAAAATTTATTCATGCACAAGGACCCATTTAGCACCTTCTTCTCCTGTAATATAAAATTGTTGTGATCTTTCAAAATTTGGCATTCTTGTATTTGCCCTGATGACTGCAAGACAAAACAAAAATCAGCCAAGCCCCTCTCTTTACTACAGTATTCAATTTTTGTTGAATTAACTTGTTTTATTCATTTGGTTCCAGGGACGTTGAAACTAGATCAATTTATATAAAACCTAAATCAGTGTTTACAAAATCCAAAATCTAAAAGCTTTTTAATCTGCAGAAAGCACACAGTAATCACAATGCCATTAAAGACATCAAACCACGCCTGCTTTCATCTGTATGGGTGTTGACGTTATTAAAGGGCAAAGCAAAGCTGTTGTTTCTCTCCTGATTGGGACCAGACGTCATGTTATACCCTTCTGTTCTGGTCAGTAAAAGTTAATACACAGTATGTGAAGAGCTTTGTCATTATGTAGAAAACAAACGACAGGAGTCAGTTACAAAGTTTTAAGAGTCGAGAGGACATCAAAATGTGAGAAATTGGCTGAAAAGTGAGCCCCGGATCAAAAGCCAAGAAAATATGTCACGTGATTCAGAAAGTGAGAAAGGCAATTCTCCGAGTCAACAAGCTGTATTTGTGTAGTACCTTTTTAATGCTGTAAAATGTCCCAAGGTGCTCTGTAGGAGCACGGTTAACAAAATTTGATGCTGACCCATACAAGCAGATATTGCGTGACCTGAAGCTCGAACGAAGATGCAACTTTTGAGGAGTGTTTTCAGAGATGGGAAATGAAGAGTTTGCAGGAGGGAATTCTAGAACCAAGGAACGTGAAAGATAGCCCAAGGCACAGCAACCAATGACGTGTGAAGAAAATGTAGGAAATGCAGGAAGCCAGAGATGGAGGAATGCAGATTCCTGAAAGGGATTAGACAGGTGGAGGAAGCTGGATACGGAGAAAGGGAGGGGGGGTAAGGCCATCTCGAAGTGCCATCACTGCCGTAGTGCAGGAAACGCAACAACCAAGTTGCAGACAGGAAGCTCCCACAATAAAGCTGAGAACAACCAGACAATCTGTATCTTCAGTGTCAATTGAGGGATAAGTACTGTCATAGAATGCCTACAATGCAGAAGGAGGCCATTTGGCCCATCAAGTCCGCACTGACCCTCTGAAGAGCATCCCATCCAGACCCACACCCCGAGTCCCCGTAGCCCTGCATTTCCCATGGCTAACCCACCTGACCCTGCACATCCCTGAACATTATGGACAATTTAGCACGGTCAATCCCCCTAACCTGCACAGCTTTGGACTGTGGGAGGAACCCACAAAGACACGGGGAGAACGTGCAAATGCCACACAGACAGTCACCCGAGGGCAGAATTGAACCCAGGTCCCTGGAGCGGTGAGGCTGCAGTGCTATCTACTGAGCCACCGTGCTCCTGGACACCTGGAAAAACGCCCCTGCTCTTCTTTGAAAAAGTATCATGGGATCTTTTGCATCCACCTGCGAGGGCAGAGGGATCCTCAGTTTAACATCACATCCGATAGACAGCTCCTCCCACAGCACAACCCTCCCAGAGCGCAGCACTGCATGAGTATCTTTAATTCATGTACTCCTGTCCGAGATTGCTACTAACTGTGCCATCGGTCACATTCCTACTAAAAGTCACCAAGAAAGAAAATAGATGGAAACTGACAATCACACAGTCCAAAGATGTGCAGGTTAGATGGATTAGCCATGCTAAGTTTCCCATAGCATCTGGGATGTGCAGGCCGGCTGGAGAGACCATGGGAAATGCAGGGTTACAGGGAAAGGGTAGGGGGCTGGGTTTGGGTGGGATGCTGTTTGGAGGGTCAGTGTGGACTCAATAGGCCTGCTTCCACACACTAACAATCATAAAATCATGTGGCAATACCTTATTGAAAATACATAACTAACTATTTCCTCACAGCACAAATCAAGGACTCCTTTAACAGGTTTTTATGCCTTATCTGTTATGGGGCCTGATCAGGTGTATCCTAGAAGTCTGTGGGAAGCTAGGGCAGTGATTGCTGGGCCCCTTGCTGAGATATTTGTATCATCGATAGCCATGCGCGAGGTGTCAGAAGGCTGGAGGTTGGCTAACATGATGCCACTATTTAAGAAGGGTGGTTAAGGAAAAGCCAGGGAACTACAGATAGATGAGCCTGACGTTAGTGGTGGGCAAGTTGTTGGAAGGAATCCTGAGGGTTTACATGTATTTGGAAAGGCAAGGTCTGATTAGGGATAGTCAACACAGCTGCATGTGGGGGAAATCATGTCTCACTAACTTGATTGAGTTTTTTTTCAAGAAGTAACGAAGAGGATTGATGAGGGCAGAGCAATGGATGTGATATATATGAACTTCAGTAAGGCATTCAACAAGGTTCTTTATGGCAGACTGGTAGCAAGGTTAGATCACACAAAATACAAGGAGAGCTAGCCATTTGGATACAGAACTGGCATGAAGGTAGAAGACAGAGGGTGATGGTGGAGGGTTGCTTTTCAAACTGGAAGCATGTGACCAGTGGAGTGCCACAAGAATCAATCTTAGGTCCACTACTTTTTGTCATTTATACAAGTGATTTGGATGTGAACATAGGAGGTATGGTTAGTAAGTTTGCAGATAACACCAAAATTGGAGGTGCAGAGGACAGCGAAAAGGTTACCTCAGAGTACAACAGGATCATGACCAGATGGGCCAATGGACTGAGGAGTGGCAGATGGAGTTTAATTTAGACAAATGTGAGGTGCTGCACTTTGTAAAGGCAAATCAGGGCAGGACTTGTACACTTAATGGTAAAGTCCTGGAGTGTGTTGCTGAACAAAGAGACCTTGGAGTGCAGGCTCATAGTTTCTTGAAAGTGGAGCCACAGGTAGACAGGGCAGTGAAGGTGGTGTTTGGCATGCTTGTCTTTATTGGTCAGTGCATTGTTAAAGGAGGTGGGAGGTCATGTTGCAGCCATGCAACACATCGATTAGGCCACTTTTGGAATACTGTGTACAATTCTGGTCTCCTTGCTACAGGAAAGATTTTGTGAAACTTTGAAGGGTTCAGAAAAGATTTACAAGGATGTTGCCAGAGTTGGAGGGTTTGAGTTATAGGGAGAGGCTGAATAGGCTGGGGCTATGTTCCCTGGAGCATCAGAAGCTGAGGGGTGACCTTATAGAGGTTTATAAAGTCATGAAGGGCATGGATAGGGTGAATACCCCAGGTCTTTTCCCCAGGGTGGGGGAGTCCAAAACCAGACAGCATAGGTTTAAGGTGAGAGGGGAAAGATTTAAAAGGGATATAAGGAGCAACATTTTCACGCAGAGGGTAGTGTATGTATGGAATGAGCTGCCAGAGGAAGTGGTGGAGGCTGGTACAATTAGAACATTTAAAAGGCACCTGGATGGGTATATGAATAGGAAGGGTTTAGAGGGATACGGGCCAAATGCTGGCAAATGGGACTAGATTGACTTAGGCTATCTGGTCGACATGGACAAGGAAGACCGAAGGGTCTGTTTCTGTGCTATATATCTGTATGAGTTGAAGCAAACAAAATGATTTTGTAACAAATAGCATATCTCTGTAAAGGCTTTGGGGGGACAGCCGCAAATTGAGGAGCTAACTCAGCCTACCTTGTTAATAATCGGATTCAGTTACTACAGCCCAAAGGCAGGCTGAAATGAGCCTGAATTTTGCCTTTATACTACAGCAGTGCCCATTGGCAGCAGTTTCTCAAGGGCAGTTAGGGACAGGCAATAAACACTGGCCTAGCCAACAACGCATGAAGGAACCATTTAAAGAGAAAAAGCACAGCAGCTCTTTCTTGAACTCTTTTTCATTGAAAGGAATTTGAATTTCTTCCAAATCAGGAACTGGCAGAAGGTGGAGAGTAAAAACTTTTCCACAACTCATGCACTCTGCAAGTACAGGCATGCTGTACTGGCCACAGAGAGAGATTTGTATAATGCCGGTCTTTATCTACACACGTGCAGATATGTGCATTTTTCCGGAGAGATTCACCAAGTTGATACGAGAGCGAGGGGGCGACGGAGCGAGAGCGAGGGGGCGACGGAGCGA